TTTCCATCACCTCATATGCATGTGAGAGCTGGACAATGAAAAAGGAAGATCTAAGAAGAATTGATGCATTTGAATTGTGATGTTGGTGAAGAGTATTGAATATACCATGGACTTCCAGAAAAATGAACAAATCAGTTCTGGAGGAAGTACAGCCAGAATGCTCCTTAGAAGCAAGGAAGGTACAACTTCATCTTGCTTACTTCGGACACCTCATCAGGAAAGACCAATCGCTAGAGAAGGACATCATGTTTGGTAGAAGGTCAGTGATAATGAGAGAAACCCTCCATGAGATGGATTGACACAATGGACTCAAACTTACCAACATGGTTTTGAAGATGGCACACGATTGGGCAATGTTTCATTCTGTTATGCATAAGGTTGCCATGAGCTGGAACTGACTCAACAGCAACTAACAACCACAACATGGATAGGCCTCATTTTGTTTATCAATTCATTGATTGATGGACATTTGGGTTGTTTCCACTTCTTGGCTATTATGAATAATGCTACTATGAACAATGTTGCACACATTTTTGTGTGGAATTGTCTTAGTTATCTAGTGCTGCTATAACAGAAATATCACAAGTGGATGGCTTTAACAAATAGAAATTTATTTTCTCACAGTTTAGGAGGCTATAAGTCTGAATTCAGGGTGTCAGCTCTAGGGAAATGTTTTCACTGTCAGCTCTGGAGGAAGGTCCTTGTCTCTTCTGAGCTTCTGCTCCTGGGCAATCTTCATGTGGCTTAGCCTCTCTCTTTCCCCATCTCTGCTTGCCTAATATGCTCTTTTTATCTCTCGTAAGTGATTAGAAGACCCTGAGTGTTGGCCAAGCTTTCTGAATCCTGGATGGAGGCCCCTCGGTCCTGGGCTTCAGCTCCACCTTCCAGACCCACTGAGATGGCATCTCTGCTCCTGCGGCTTTGGGTGACCCCATTCTCCTAGTCTTTCTGAGTGGCAACCCTACCCCCTCGGCCCCAGCAGGCCCAGTTTTTCTGCCCCTTGGGCATGGCAGCCCCACTCCCTCAGCTTTGGGTGGTGGCCTCACCCCACTGGCACACCTTAACGGCAGCCCCACGCACCAGAACCGAGTTCGCAAAAATCCGACTCTTTGAAACCTAGGAGATGGTTGGCCCTACCCTTTGAGATCCAGGAGACCATGGCCCCGTCCTTTGAAACCGAGAAGGGCCTGCTTTCCGTGCTCCTTCCAACAGTTCTGCTGATCTCCCAGCTGCTCCAACAATGATCCTTTTCTTTGCTTGGAGGATAACAGATGTAGCTCCTTTGGCCTGTTTCCTGCTTGTAGAATTCCAAGAGGCAAACAGCAGTCTTTCCTTTTGTTCCTTCTCTGTCCACTTCAGTCTAAGCTGATGGGTTTTCTGCTGTGATAGTTGGATAGATCTATCAGTCACAGGCTTAATCTCTTTAACAAAAGATTGTGTAGCCACGTCCTTGGTGAACATTCTAGAACATGTGTCATTAGTTTGTACAACAGAATTTTCCAAATCTTTAAATTATGTTTTCATCTTGAACAGTTCATTTTCAAGTACATCTCTTTCCTCTCATATTTTACTATAAGCAGCAAGGAGAAACCACGTGGCCCTTTAAGATCTTGCTTAGAAATCTTCTCAGCCAGATATCCAAGTTCATCACCTACAAGTTCTACTTTCCACCAAACATTTGAACATAATTCAGACAAGTTCTTTGCCACTACATAAAAAGCATCGCCCTTCTTCCACTGTCCAATCACATGTTCATCATTTTCATTTAAAGACTTACCAGAAGCACATTTAACACCCACATTTCTAGCAACATTCTGTTGCTGGTTCCATATGTATTCTCTAAGACAATAGAGATTTTATCTATATCTCTCTTCACTTCCTTCTGAGCCCTCACCAAAATTGCCTTTGACATCCATAATTCTACCAAAAGTTTTTTTTTCAAGGCAATCTAGGCTTTTACTATTAGGTACCTTAAAACTTTCCAACCTCCACCCATTACCCAATTCCAAAACCACTTCTACATTTTAGGTATCTGTTAGAACAGCACCCCACTCTTCTGGTACCAAATTCTGTCTTAGTCATCTAGTGCTGCTGTAACAGAAATACCACAAGTGGATGGCTTTAACAAACAGGAATTCATTTTCTCACAGTTTAGGAGGCTAGAAGTCCTAATTCAGGATGCTGGCTCTAGGGGAAGGCTTTCTGTCTCTGTTGGCTCTGGGGGAAGGTCCTTGTCTCTTTAGCTTCTGTTTCCTGGTTCCTTGGAGATCTCCACGTGTCTTGGCATCCATCTTACCCCATCTGGACTCTGCTCACTTGCTTTTTTAATCTCTTTTATATCTCAAAAGAGATTGACTCAAGATATACCCTACACTAATCCTGCCTCATCAACATAACAAAGAACCCATTTCCAAATGGGATTATAATCACAGGCATAGAGGTTAGGATTTACAACACACATTTTTGGGTGACACAATTCAATCCATAACAGGAATCTTTCATATTTATTTAAAAATAATTTTTATCACAAAATCTCTGTACACTTCATGGTCGTAATAATTTTTATTAATTTTCCTTAAAATATTCAGCTGGAATTTAATTTGGAGTTATATTGAAATTATATATTGATTTAGTGAGACTCAAAATCTTTATAATATGAGATTGTCCCATCCAAGAGCATGGAATGTGACTCCATTTATTCAGATCATCTTTATACCTTTTAATGAATTTTTAACATTTTCTCCATAGAGATCTTATTTATCCCACTCATATTAGTTTTCTATTGCAGTGTAACAATAGTACCACAAACTTAGCATCTTAAAACAATGCACATTTATTATCTCACAGTTTCTGTGGGTCAGGAGTCAGGGAATGGCTTAACTGGGTCTTCTGCTCAGGGTCTCACAAGGCTACAGTCCAGGTGTCAGCTGGGGCTGCAGTCTCATCTGAGGCTTGACTGGGTGTCATGGATTGAATTATGTCCCCCCAAAAATGTGTGTATCAGTTTGGCTGGGCCATGATTCCCGGGATTGTGTGATTTTCCTATATGTTGTAAATCCTGCCTCTATGATGTCAATGAGGGAGGATGGGTGGCAGTTGTGTTAGTAAGGCAGGACTCAATCTACAAGCTTGGATTGTGTCCTGAGGCAATTTCTTGAGATATAAAAGGGAGAAGTGAGCAGAGAGACAGGGGGACCTCGGACCACCAAGAAAGCAGTGCCAGGAGCAGAGCGTGTCCTTTGGACCCAGGGTCCCTGCGTGGAGAAGCTCCTAGTCCGGGGGAACATTGATGAGAAGGCTGACAGAGAGAGAAAGCCTTCCCCTGGAGCCAACGCCCTGAATTTGGACTTTTAGCCTACTTTATTGTGAAGAAATAAATTTCTCTTTGTTAAAGCCATCCACTTGTGGTATTTCTGTTATAGCAGCACTAAGACTAAGACACTGGGAGAGGATCCACTTCCACACTCACTCAGGTTGTGGACAGAATTCAGTTCCTTGTGGTTGTGGGACTGAGGGCCTCAGTTTCTTGCTGATTGTTGGTCAGAGGCTGCCTTCAGCTCCTAGAGATCACCTTCTGTTTCTTGCCACGTGAGGTTGCCCCAAATGGCCACTTGTCTCATTAAAACTAGCAAGGGAGTGAGAGTCCTCTCACAAGGTGGCTGCTTCAAATAAATAAATAGATAAAAGATGGCCGTTTCAACCTTATTCAACATAATCACGTACACATAATCACATGTGTCCTGTCATCTTTGGTCATGCACTCATTCACGGGGAGGGTATTAGGCAAGGCTATGAATACCAGGAGGCTGGGGTCATGGGAGCCACCTTAGCGTCTGTCCATTACACCGCTCAGGTCCATAAGGGGATGTGTATAAGAAGTTTCATTGTAAAGTTGTTTGTAATACTGAGGAGATAGAGGCAGTTAGAATCAGTGGACTAAATATATCTACAGCAACCTGCATGGATCTTTCTTTTCTTCACTTTTAATTTATGCCATGTTACCATGCTTTGTTTTAATTCCAAAATGAAAATATCCTTATTGTTTGTTTATCTGATTATAATAGTAGTACATACTCATTGTAACATTTTTTTTTCAGACAACAGAGAAAAGTGTAAAGGAGAAAGTGATAGACCATTACTTATCTCCCCACCCAGAAATAACCATTGTTACATTCCTTTCCCAGCATTTTCCCCCAGTGGATACACATACATTTTACCAAAATCTTATTGCCTTTGATGTATCATTGTAAATGGTTTTAAATCCTTTATGGAACAAGTTAGGGATAAAATATCTATGGAGAAACAAGCAGATACAGGCAGTAAAATAGGGACAAACAGGAGGGGGAGTTGGAGAGATGGAGAGAGAGAGAGTCAGAGACAGGGAGAAACAGATGGGGAGAGGAAGACAGAGAGACCTATGGGCACATAAGGACAAAAAGAGAAACACAGGGAGCCACGGCGAGATGAAGAAAGATACTGGCAAAGAGACGAGAAGATGGAAAGGAGCATTTATTGAGCTCCTACTGAATGCCATGTTTATTAGTTCTTCAAGACCACTCTGAGGGACAGTGCCTAGAAACCCTGTATGCAGGTGATTACCTGCATTCAAGCTCATTGCCCTGTAAAGGGTCTGGTCCACAGTACGCGATCCTTAATTGTTTATCCAATAAAGGAAGTAATATATGTCTCCTCTCCAAGAAGGGTTAAGTGAGGACTGGACTCCCATTCTACCCCACTGAACCATTAGTTCCTGTCTGGCTGCTAGGGCAACAGCAAAGTCTGTTGCCCTGGCAACTGCCCTCCGACTGCCATGGCAACCGCCTTCGCAGGCTCCAGATCTTCACCTTACCCCTTGGGCAACTCCATAGCGACCGGCGGGGTGGAGGAGCTGCCAGAGACCTGAGGCTGCGCCTGCGTAGAGTGGCGGGAGGGGATGGGCAGGAGAGGGCACGGTTCCCGGGCGTGCGCAGCCGCAGAAGACCGCAGCCTTGCCTGCTAGCCCAAACGCTGCGCATTTGCCAGCCAGTCCGCCCGTCCGGAGCCCGGCTCGCTGCGGCAGCATGGCGAGGTCGCCACTGCTCCGCGGGCCGCGGGCCGGGGGCGTCGGTCTCTTGGTGCTGCTGCTGTTGGGCCTACTTCGGCCACCCTCCGCGCTAGGCGCACGGCCGGTAAAGGTGCGACCCTAGCCTGGTGCGGGTGGGGGCCGGGAGGAGGTTGCTATGGCTAGGGTCAGTGCCACCTGCCTCACCCTCCCTGGACCAGCTCCCGGGCATGCGGGCAGATCGGCAAGAGTGGCTGGGGCTCCAACCCCCAGTCCGCGCCCAGGCAGTGCTGGCGCGCCCTAGACTAGGCTCCGCTGTCTCTGAGTATGCAGAGTGGTGGTGGCCGGCGCTCGGTCAGCAGCCGCACCCTGCCCACCCTTCCGCACCTCAGCCAGGCCCGGCCTCGCCCTGTCCGCCGCCTGCGGCGCTGCCCCTGGGACTTGGGCACGTTAATGGAGGGTGTGCGCGCATCGGTCTGTGTGTGCGTAATGTGATGACGGGTGCAAAAGTGTTGTGTCCTTGTAAGTGTGTGTCCTTTCATGTGACCGCTTCCATGTCTCCGTACGAAGGTGCCGTTGTGCGTCCGGGTGTGACAATGGAGATGTGATACTGCTTCTGTGTGTGACTTTTTGTGGGCCCAGTTGTTTTCTCAGTGACAGCGTGTGTGCGTTTGTGAATCCTTATGTGTGATGGCATGGCGTATTGGTATGTCTTTCTGTGTGCGAATCAGTGAGATTTCGTTTTCATTTGGGAGGGAGTGGTCTTTGCATCTCCGTACGCACATTCCATTTTGTTTCTGTTGGACTGAGTGCCTGAGATTTTGTATGTGTGTTCATGAGGCTGCTTCTCGCTGTTTCTTTGTGGAGCTGTCGCCGTGGGGAGAGGAGCCATGATGTCTCCGTGCTGCATTGTGTTTTTAAGGGTGGTGTATGTCCTTGCATCTGGGTGGCTTTTGTAACTGCATGAGCAGCCATGTAGGTGAGCGAGTGCAGTTCCTTGTATGCGAATGTAGCCGTGTTGTGTTACGTATGTGACATCTCAGAACCTACCAGTCCGTGTGCGTGCGTGCTTGAGGCTGTGCTTGCTGGTGAATGTGTGACTCCCTGGGGGCTGGGGGTTGGTGGGTGCCCAAGCAAGGGCACCTAGAGCAGCATCTTCTTCTGGCTCTTTAGGACTGTCTGCATCAAGGATACTAAAAAAACTAAACTCCGTTGCCGTGGAGTCGATTCCGATTCATAGCTGCGCTATAGGACAGAGTAGAATTACCCCCTAGGGTTTCCAAGGAGCGGCTCGTGGATTCGAACTGCCGACCTTTTGGTTAGGAGCCTGAGGTCTTAACCACTGCGCCACCAGGGCTCCAAAAAGCCTACAGCACCCGGTGTTCCCAGGCGGTCTCGCATCCAAGTACTAACCAGGCCCAATCCTGCGTAGCTTCTGAGATCAGAGGAGATCCGGCGCGTTCAGGGTGGTATGGCCGTAGGGGGAATTTAAAAATTTTTTACAGGTTACATATATAAATAATATAACGTATTTAACATATATGCATGATGTAAGGAATAATTATAAAATAACCCCACCCCGTGTACCCATCGGCCAGCTAAGAAATAGAGCATGACCGATAGTTAGAAGCCCCTGTGTGCCCTCCCCAATGGCAGCCCCTCTCCCCCCATAATCATCATCCTGTATTTTCTGCTCATTGGTCCTTTACTTTTATTTGTAGCTTATCACATATATATGTATCTCTAAATATGTCGTTTAGCTTTTCCTGCTTTTGAACGTCCTAGAAATGGAATCACGCTGGGGATCTGGCTCCTGGGAATCAGTAGGGGTGACTAGGAAGTCATTGGCATGTCTGGTAGTCTCAGGGAGTCGGCAGTGGAATTCTGCAACTCGCCCCCTCCTTTTTTTTTTGCTTTGCATCGGTTGTGAGATTCATCCACATTGAGGTGCATGGCTGTAATTGGTTTATTTTTATTGCTGCATAATATTTTATCCTATGCGTATACCATGATTCATATATGCGTTCTCCTGTCAGTGGACATTTGGATTGTTCCCAGGCTTTTTTCTCCTCCACCTGTTTTTATGCTATTATGAACAGTGTTGCTGTAACCTTTAATGAATTTATGTCAGGTTGTATATGTGCAAAACGTATTCTGGGGTATAACACCCCAGGAGTGGGATCATAGGATATGTGCATCTTTTTAGACATTGCCAAATTGCTCCTCAAAGTTATTTGGCCAATTTAATTCCCACCAGTAATGTTTCATTTTTTCCACATCTATGTCAACAGGTGACATTATCAGATTTTTTGATTTTTGCCAGTTTTTTGGATGTATTATGCACAGTATCTCATCAGGGTTATAATTTTCATTTCCCTAATTACTAATGACGTTGACTATATTTCATATGTTTATAACTCATTTCCTTTCCATTTTTGTGAAATATTTGAACATGGATTTTGCTCATGTCTGTATTAGTTTATCTGTTATTGCTTTTAGGAATTCTTTGTATATTCTGGACATTGATTTTGTTGTGTTGCAGGCATCTTCTCCCACTCTGTGATTTTACTTTTCATTCTTTTTATGATGACTTAAGATAAAAAGAAATTCTTAATTTATTTTTATTTGTCTTTTCCTTTCCATTTCCCCCCAAATTTGGATAACTTGTTATTCCTACATCATTTATTGAGGGATTCCATCCCGTCCTCACTGCTTTGCAGTGCCACCTCTGTCATATAGCAAGTGTCAAATATGTGTATATCTATTTCTAAGCTCTGTTCAATTCTATTACTTCCTTCAGCTGTGTCAAATCTGCTGTTTAATATGTCCAATTGAGATTTTAATTTCATTTCAAGTATATTTCTAGATGGTCTATGTGTTTCTTTTTCAAATCTTTGTGGTCATTTTTGGGATCTTTTGTTTTTTACTCTTATTTTGGGTATGCTTTTATTTCTTTAAACTTACTAAAATTTTACCCAAACTGTCTGAACTGAAAATTCACCATTGGGTGATTTATCCTACAGATAAACTTGCACACATGCCAAATGATATATGAACAATGTTATTCATTCCAACATTGTTATAAAAATAGGGAAGGATTGGAAACACCCTAAGCATATACCAATTGTAGACTGGTTAAATAAACTGTTGTGCATCCATACAAAGGTTGCTCTCATATTGATATATAGATCTCCAAATAGCAAGATGCAGAATAGTCTGCTACCTTTGGGGTAATACAGGTGGACAATAGGAACCTATATTTGCATTTGCTTATAAAGACACCCAGAAGGAGTGGCAATGGTAGGTATTACAACTATAGAGTTTTCTATATTAATATATATTTTCTATATTAATGTATAATATACTTTTATACATTAATATATTCCTATATTATTGTTTGTAGTATTTTTTAGTTGATTATTTTAGATTTTCCATTACATTATTTTATTATGTATTTTATTTATTTTATTTTCCATTACATTATTTACAAATAGTGAGAATTTTACCTGTTTCCTTCTGCAAATTTTGTACCTTTAACTTATTTTTCTTCTCAAATTGCTTTAGCAGCTATCTGCAGAACACTGTTAACAGAAGTGATGGGGACATCCTTGTCTTGTTCCTGGCTTTAGTGGCAATGCCTATACTTTTAGTGTTTTTCCATTAAGCATTAGTGCTGACTTCTGGATTGAAGTAAATATTCCCCAATACTTTTGAAAATGTATTTTAAAATAACAAATCCAGTATTTTCAGCAGTTTTGGAAAGGAGGGTTTTTTCAGGAATGTAGTCCCTCAGATTACCAGAAGTGAAAGCTACATACCTGCAAGGCTTGAGTGTGAGTTTGGGCTTGCTGTGCGTGTTTTGTGTGTTTTGATGTTACTGTCATCATCAGATGTCTGACAGTCTGGCTCCTGGTAGTCACTAGGGCTCACTAGGAGGTCATCTGGGTGTCTGGAGGTCTCGGAAAGTCTACAGTAGCCCTGGGAGTCACCAGGAGATTACTTGAACATCTGGAGGTCTCAGGGGTCTGCTGGGGGCCCTTGGGTGTCTGAGGTTCTCCAGGAGTATTTGGAACTGCTCCTGGGAATCACTAGGAGGTCACTGAGGTGTCTGAGGAAGTTGGGAGGGTCTTGAGGTTCCGCAGAGGTATTTGAAATTTCTGGGGGCCTCTGCAAGCTCCTGGGAGTCACTGGAAGGTCATAGAGAGGTTTCTGGGAGATACGGGGAATCCACAAGAGCCTTTGGCGTGACTGTAGGTCTCCAGGGCCCCTGGGGCGACTTCTGGGAGTCGCTGGAGGTCTAGAGGTTTTTGGTGGTCTTAAGTGTTTCTGGAGATATTTGGAGGTCTCCAGTGACCTTACGGAGCCCTGGTGGCGCAGTGGTTAAGAATTCGGCTGCTAACCAAAAGATCAGCAGTTCGAATCCACCAGGCGCTCCTTGGAAACCCCATGGGGCAGTTCTACTCTGTTCTATCGGGTCGCTATGGGTTGGAATCGACTCAACGGCAGTGGCTTTGGTTTGGTGGTTTGGAGTGACCTCAGGGGTGTCTGGGTGTACTTGGGGGGAGGGGGTATGGTGCCTTTCGTGCCATCTGAGATATTTGAGGTCCACGGAGATCACCGGTTTGGGAGTCCCTGGCTGAATGGATGCTGACACACATCTTTTCCCCCCTCTCGAGTTCCTGCAGGAGCCCCGCAGCCTGGGCGCATCCTCGCCGCCCATGGCTGAGGCTGGCGCCCCCAGCCGATTCCGGCGGGCAGTGCCCCGGGGAGAGGCGGCAGGGGCGGTGCAGGAGCTGGCGCGGGCGCTGGCTCACCTGCTGGAGGCCGAACGGCAGGAGCGGGCGCGGGCGGAGGCGCAGGAGGCCGAGGATCAGCAAGCCCGCGCCCTGGCGCAGTTGCTGCGCCTCTGGGGCGCACCCCGCACTTCAGACCCGGGTCTGGGCCAGGACAACGACCCCGATGCGCCCGCCGCGCAGCTCGCGCGTGCCCTGCTCCGCGCCCGCCTCGACCCTGCAGCCCTCGCAGCTCAGCTCGTCCCTGCCCCCGCCTCTGTGCTCAGAACCCGGCCCCCGGCCTACGATGACGGCCCCGCCGGCACTGACGTCGAGGACGCCGGCGACTGGACTCCCGATGTGGACCCCGAGCTGCTGAGGTACCCTGGCAAGAGGGGGCGCCTGCGTCCCCGAAGGATGAGGCATCGGAGTAAACACTCTGGTCCTGGGGAGGGGCGGGCATCCTGGGTCCCCGGAAGGGGGGCGAGGGTGTTGGGACATTAGGAGGGAGTGGGGTCCTGGATCCAGGGTGTGGGAGCAAAGATGCTTGGTTGGGGGGCCAGTGCGGGACGTGGATTCCTGGTGCCGGGGAAGGGGACTCTGATGCCCAGTTTCTAGAGGCAGGCGTGGGAGGCGGGGCAGCAGAATTTCTGGGATAGAAGGCAGGGTCGTTTGTCTCCTGGAAGCAGTAGGTTGGGGACGCCAGGGTCCGCAGGCCGGGTCCCTGGGGCGAGGCAGGAACTCGCGGACATATCTTCGCTGCATTCCACTCTGCTCCCACTTCAGGTACTTGCTGGGGAGGCTTCTCACCGGAAGCCCCGACCTCGAGACGGTGGCCGCCCCGCGACGCCTCCGCCGCGCAGCAGACCAGGATCTGGGCCCTGATGTGCCGCCTGAGGGCGTGCTCGGGGCGCTGCTGCGCGTGAAGCGCCTGGAGACCCCCGCGCCCCAGGCGCCCGTGCGCCGCCTCTTGCGGCCCTGAGCACCGCCGGAGTCCCACGCCCCTCGGACCCAGGATGGTCCGCACCTCTGACACCCAGACTGCTCCCCCTCAACACTTCAAGAGCGACCTACCCCGGCTAGCCGCCGTTTGCTGCCCTTTAACCCCAAGATCCCCACCATCTGGCCCCACAATAAATACAACATGAAGGAGCTATGTGTTTGTCTGTGTGAGTGGCAGTGTCAAGGGGGCTAGTGGCCTGGGTGGTGGTGACTGCCTTTAGTTCAGGGCTGAAGCGGCCCTGCCCTGGGTCCTGCACTTTGGAGACACATGCCCTACCACATCCCCTCAGGGTAGGCCGCTCCTCTCTGGTGGAGGGATCCATATGGACAATGGCAGTGCCCACCCCATTCTGTGCAACCTTCTGGACCGCGCTCAGGTACCAGGGTGCCCAAAAGGTTTTGAGCAGTATCTTCTGGGGATCCATCCTCCTGAGGGCCAAGGGGTGGTAGAAGGATGGCTGACTGTGAGGCATGTGAGCAGAAAGCACGGACCCTGCTGGCTGGGCTGTCCAGTGCATACCTGAGAGCCCTGGAAATGTGGATAGGACCCTGGGCTGGGAAGAGAAAGGGGGTGGGCAGAAGGCCAGGGGGGGTCAGCCCTCCCAGCAAAGTCACATTGTGTCATGGAACTCTGAGGAGTCTGAGAAATTAGAACCTGGAGGTCCAGGTCATTAACAAAGTGTATTTGTCAAGGTAGGAGAGGATAGATTTTGCTTGTTAGCTTGGTTTGTAATTTTTAAATATTTAGTTATACACTATAGAGGCCCTGAAGATACTGGGAGTTGGTGTCGTGGTAGCTGGTTTGTGGTCATGGCCTGTGCACTGGCTATTTCCTCTACCCCCAGATACTACAAATTTTTACTCAATGTCACCTACTCAATAAGACTTTCCTTGACCTTCTTGTCTAAGGAGCATCCCTGCCACTCTTTATTCTGTCACTTGTGTTTAATACATAGCCTGTATCACTACCCAACTTTTTTCACATATCTTTTTTTAGATTTTCCTTCCCCCCCCCAAGAACGTCATAGCTACATATCTTGTTCACCTCTACATCCCTCTCACTCAAAACAGGGCCTGGCACGAAAATTTCTTGAATGAAAGAACTCTCATAATTCAAGTAACATTCTATCCAGTTTCACCCTCACTCAGCTAACACTCGGCACAGAGGCAGCTTTGAAACCTGGGAACACCATTTATTTAATTTTATACAAAATCTGTCAACTTGACATAACACAACCAACACTACATCCCATGTTAACAAAAAGCTCCTCGCCAAATGAAAACCTCCCCAAGACAGGTGTCTACCTAGCCCCAGTAACTGAAGGTGTCCCACACAGCTAATTGCTCTGGGAGTCTCGTGGCAAAAGAATCAATGCCCTAGCCAGGGGGAAGGTCCACTTTTCTTGACCAAGACCTTTAAGCCACAGAGCAGCCACAGTGGCACATGGCCTTCTGGTGCCGGGCCTTATGCCCACCTGCTCCTTCCATGGCCTCCTTTGCCATGGCCTCCTGGACCCTCTGGATCTCATGGACAAGTAGAGAAAAGGCCTCCTCTACACCTTGGCGTGTCTTGGCCGAGGTCTGCACGAAGGGGGCCCCCCAGCTCTTGGCGAGAGCTGCAGCAGCAACATGAGCATCTCCAGTGGTGGTCACGAGGTCACACTTGTTGCCCACCAGGACGAGGGGCTGGGTGTGGTGAGGGCCCCAGGTGGCCCGTATTTGCTGCAACTGGGCCAGAGAGGAGGGGTCATCAAGGGCGAAGACACCCAGCACACCATCACCGATAGCCACGCATTGGTCACGAAGGGCCCTGTGAGTTGCCTGCCCTGCTGTGTCCAACACATTCAGGATGCAGTCCCCACAGCTGAGGGCCATCTTTTTCCAGTAGGAATCCTGGATCGTGGGGTCATGGTCCTCCACAAAGCACTGGTGGTTCAGCTGGATGGTCAGCGCACTCTTGCCCACACCACTTGCACCCACCACCACTGCCTTGTACTCGGGCAGCTTCTGGCCACCCGCGCAGTGTGCCAGAACCCTGTGGGACTCCTGGGAGTTAAGGTTCCATGTACCCAGGCCCAGGTCGTGGGTTGTGGGCAGTGCCATGCCCCCAGTAGGCAGCTCAGTGAAGAGATGTGGACAGCAGACACTGCAAGTGGGAAGAGAAGAAAGACAAGTGGGTGAGGGGGGGATAGGTTAGGTGAGATAATTTGTGGGGAGGGGACATCTGGGTGCCATTGAATAAACATTATTGAGTGCCTAGTGTGTGCTAATCACCTCTACCAAAAAAAAAAAAAACTCACATCACCTATATGCTGTGTAAATTACTTCTGTTTATTGTGTCTATAGCTCTTCTATAGCATAAACTCTGTAACGGCAGGGATTTTTTAGAAACCACTTTATTGAGATATAATTTACGTACTATAATGTTCACCCATTACAATTCCATGGCTTTTAGTATAGTCACAGAGTTGTGCAACTATCACATTAATCTAATTTAAGAACATTTTCATTACCCCGAAAAGAAACCCCATATCCATTAGCAGCCACTCTCCATTATGGAGGGCAAAGATTTTGTCTGTTGTGTTCACTGTTGCACCTCTGCCCAGCACAGTGCCTGCCTTATAGTTTGCAGCCATCCCATACACCCACCCTCAGAGAATTCAGGTTCTAGAAAGTGGAGACTAATGCTAAATCGAACAAATAAGTGAATTATGAGCTCTGTTAGCTATCATCATTGTAACTTAAAAAAACAAAACCAAACCGGTTGCCATTGAGTCGATTCCGACTCATAGTGACAGAGTAGAACTGCCCCACAGGGTTTCCAAGGATCGGCTGGTGGATTTGAACTGCCAATCTTTTGGTCAGCAGCCGAGCTATTTACCACTGCGCCACCAGGGCTCCACTGTAACTTAGTTTTTATTTATTAATTATTTAACATACATTTATTGAGACCTTACTGTGTGGCAAAGACATAGAGGTGAAAAAAATTAGACAAAAATTTCCTGGTCCTCATAAAGGTTACATTCTAGTGGGGGACTGTTATGGACTGAATTGTGTCCGGCAAAAATGTGTGTAATCTTGGCTAGGCCGTGATTCCCAGTATTGTGTGGCTGTCCACCATTCTGTCATCTGAGGTGATTTTCCTATGTGGTGTAAATCCTACCTCCATGATGTTAACGAGGCAGGATTAGAGGCAGTTATGTTAATGAGGCAGGACACAATCTACAAGATTAGGTTATATCTTGAGTCAACTTCTTTTGAGACATAAAAGAGAGAAGCGAGCAGAGAGGAGAGGGACCTCCTACCACCAAGAAAGAAAAGTCAGGAGTGGAGTGCGTCCTTTGGACCCAGGGTCCCTGTGCCGAGAAGCTCCTTGACAGGGGAAGATTGATGACAAGGACCTTCCCCTAGAACTGACAGAGAGAGAAAACCTTCCCCTGGAGCTGGTGCCCTGAATTTAGACTTCTAGCCTCCTAAACTGTGAGAGAATAAATTTCTGTTTGTTAAAGCCATCCACTTGTGATATTTCTGTCATAGCAGCCATAGATAACTAAGACAGGGACCCAGACAATAAACAAGACAAATAAGTAAAATATATTTCAGTGACAGGTGACAAGCACACAGAAAGTGCTCGATTAACATTAGGCATTATTATCATTTAATCCTCATTCATTAATTCAAGACTCTTACTGTATGCCAGGATATGGCAGTGAACAAAACAGATGAAAATTCTTGTCCTTGTGAGCATTATATTCTGGCAGTGAGAAACAGACAATAAACAAGATAAATAAGTAAATTATCTTGCCATCAGAAGAGGATAGGCACAGCAAGTGCTCGATTAGTGTTAGTTATTAAGGGTAAATCACCATTAATGCAGCCAACAAACATTTATTTGCTTTAGTTCAGTGCGGGCCCTCAGTAAGTGCTCCATAATAACTGCTATCACAACTCTCTCTGGAAACCCGTGAGCAGTGGCAGTTTGGAGGAAGATGGTGGGAGCGAGGTGCCCATGCGGAGGGTGGTTATGTTGAGTTTGGGATCTGGAGTTTAGGGTGCGAGGAGGCAAGATTCCAGATGGAGCTCCAGCTGCAGGGTCCTCAACCCAGAGAGATTGCTCAAAATGATCACTGGATGTGCTCTCTTAAGAAGGGAGGAGCATAATGAGGGGAGAAGTAAGCAAGGCACAGAGCCCTGGGGGTCCCAACATTTGGAGGAAAGAAAGAGGGAGAAAATATAGCTGTGAGGACAGACTGAGGGGAGGGGGTAAGGGGTAGCAGTGAGGACACCACTGCAGTAGTCAGGCCAGCGATGATGGTGGTGGCTGTGGACGCACTGAGGAGAGTTTGGATTCTGGATAAATTCTGAACTGGTTTTTATCCTTAGAGATAAAAGGCAAGAGAGAGGGTCAAGGATGACTTTAAGTTTTGGGCCTTAGCAGCTGGAAAGCTGAGGATGCCATCATCTGAGATGGATGAGATGGGAGAAGGGCTCTTCCCTCTTGATGAAGGTGATAATAATCATAATAAAACAAACAAACAAACAAAAAAACCAAACCCATTGCCGTCGAGTCGATTCCGACTCACAGTGACCCTATAGGACAGAGTAGAACTGCCCCATAGGGTTTCCAAGGAGCGCCTGGTGGATTCGAATTCCGACCTTTTGGTTAGCAGCCAAGCTCTTAACCACTGTCCCACTAGGGTTTCCAAATAATAATCATAATAGCAGCAGATACTATTTACTGAGAGCTCAGTATGTGCCAGGTGCTCTGACACACCCACACTCACGCATAATCTTCACAACACCCCGGTGAGGCCTGGGTTATCATCACCAAGCCCCCTTTATCAATGAGGAAAAGCGAGGCTCAGAGAAGTGAGGTGACAGTGACTGGCCCAAGGTCACACAGCCAGTCAGGGATACAACAGAAGAGGAGTCTCACCCTTCTCAGGAAAACGGAGTGTCATTATAGGGCCCTGAGACCATGTGATCCCGCCCACAACGTGGTCTGGATTGTTCTCCTGACCTAGGAAGGTGAGTTGAGGGGCTGGGGTTCAGGGACAATGGGAGGGGGCAGGGGCGGGTCACCCCAAATATGAGATCTTACAATCCCCCTTTCAGGCTAGCCTCACAGATTACACCTTCCTTGACTAAGCCAGGTGAGGTGACCCTGTGCCCACCTTCACTTTGGGCTCAGTCTGGACAAAGAAAGTTCACCTTTCTTGCCCCAGGGAGTAATGGACTGGGGGTGGGAGCAGGATGGGGTGAGGGCGTCTCGGTGAAACCTCCCCGCTTCACGCAGCCGGATACCCTCACCCGGGTCTCTTTCCCTCACACAGCAGGGCCGGACGAGTGAGGGGCTGAGAGGCGGTAGAGGAAGGGTCCCCCAAACCCAAGATCTTGGAACCTCCCGACCTTGGTCATGCCTCCAAAACCAAAACCCTTCGCGGAAAGACCCCCAGCCTCAGGGATGGGGCGAGGGCGCGACCGCAGGCTCACCTCAGTCCTCAGCAAGCGGTGGCCGCTGGGACCCAGGCAGCGGCTCTGAGAAGAAGTGGAGGTTCTGCCCCCTCCCCGCTGGGAGGGGGCAGTGAGCATGCGCAGCTGCCACAGCCCTCAGGTACCTCCTGCGGGCAACCCCCGCGCGGCCCTGGGTTGAGTGCAGGCTCATGGCCTGGCTCGCCGGCACAGGTCTGAAGGAGGGCCTCTTCGGGGTGTGCTTGACTCCCATGGGTATCCCACTGTGTCCTGCTGCTTCTCTCCCTTACCCCCATTTGGGATGTGACTTAGTGTTTGTGTTTAAGGGTTGATTTTGACCTGGACAGCCAGACTTTGGGAAACATTTTGTGAGGGCCTCTTTGTGGCTGGGGGGGGGGCTGTGCCGCCTCAAGCAGGCTTTTTTGGTAGCTTCAGACAGGGTTCTGTACATACCTGGAGGGAAACTGTTGCAGGGGAGGGGTTATTCTATCAGAGCAAAAGGAACCCGATTCCATCTCAGGTGAAAACTTATCTAGCTAAGAGATTTCCCAACCTCCCTTGCAGCTGACAGTCATGTGACACAGTTCTGACCAATGAGATGTAAGCATTGTTGGGCGGGGCATCCAGAATGCTCCTTAATAGGGGGTTGACTCAGCGGGCTGTAGCCCTCTTGTACTTTTCTGTTTCCGTACTTCTTGAATGAATGGCTGAGGCTCTGGTGATCATCTTGGGAACATAAGATGGCCAAGAAGAAAGGGTCAAGAAACCTCAGCCCTGACTTCCTTGAGCTGCCAAAGCAATTCTCATTATGTGGGAGAAATAAAACCCCGAATTGTCCTCCGATTTCCCATCCCTGGTCAACACTAGGTACCCCTTCCCCCAGGAAGCTATCCATGACCACCACACCCAGGTATGTTAAACCTGGACACCCCTCCCTCAATCACTAGATTAGATCAGACAGATGGGGAATTGAGGCCTTTTAAGGAAACTTCCTGCTAGTTTTCCTGCCTTCTCAGCCCAGGGTGTGGCAGAGCAGCCCACACTGAGCTGGCCATTGGGCACATACTTCTAAGACAGGCACTCAGTTTCTCCCAGATTCCACCATTTAATCTCTAGCGGAGCCAGTCAAGCTGCTTGCTCTATTTTCAGTTAGTTTTTCTGGGGTAATGGATGGGCAGGGGGTTGACCTGATGTAGACCCACTCCCTTATTCCTTCATTACTGCTGGCCAGGGATTCTCCACTCACTCAAAGTTAAAAGGCTTTTTCCAGATTTTGTAATAGCTTGCACTTTATTACATATGCAACCCTGCCATACATGCCAGTATGATCCTCCCTCCCTCCAATGTCATCATCTTCATGATATCAGTCCCTTCTTGGGGGCACTGAGTTGCCCTCCTTTTCCTCTGAGGGGAGTAGATGGAGTCTTTCAAGCAGGCATGGGCAAAAGGAGATCCACAATTGATCAGTGCAGTCCTCTTAAAAGTATTTACACTTAAATAAGCACCCTTGGGGTGTTGTAAAGGGTATTCAGGAAGGGATTTGGTGAGAGGCTACCCCTCATCCAAGGTACAGATTGGAATAAACTAAGGCTGGTCTATCTTGGGCCTCAGAAGGTGGAGAAGAGAGAGTGCATTCTGGTATTTAGTGTGGTTGAGGCATGTCTTCCCCAAACTTGTTCTGATGGGCGAAATTCTTCACATCTAGGAGAGCCTGGGGAAGAGGCAACAACAGGGTAGGTAAGGGCTAGTGAGGTCTCCTCTGTCTCAGCCAGGAGGCTACCCCCACTCCAGCCCTCAAATACCCTGCACCCTGTACTATCCCACAGCCCCAACAGTACAAAAAAACAATCACACGAGACAGCTAAGCAGAGGGGTCTCCAGTCTACCCTTACCCAATCAGAGAAGGTACTGGGGCGGGGGGCTAGTGTGCACTCATTAAAGGGTCTGCCCAGGACCCACCTGGTGGTGGACATAGGCCTGACAGTGGTAACACCAGGTAGACAGGTCAACGAAGCTGAGAACTAGCGGGTGTCCTGAGTCTTCATGGTGTTGGATCATATGGGCATTGATGTAACGACCGCAGCAGACCTAAAGTTGAGGGGTGAGTGTTCAGTAGAGTGGGCAGCACCCACCTGAGATTTTCTTCCTGGGCCAACCTCCACCCCATCCCCTTCCTCTGCTCTGTCCGTACCTGATAGCAAGACAGACACACCCAATTCTCCTGGAGGGATCCACAGTCCCGACAGGGTTGGGTCACGTCCAGGCCTGTTGCAGGTATGGGGCAGACTGCCATCAAATGGGGACACCAGGGCAGTGGTGTCACAGCATAAAAGGTGGCCTGGGGTGGATGAAACTGAGTAAGACGGGGATCCAATCTCCCCACTACAAATTCCTACACTACATGCTCCTACTTGGAGAGACAAGTAGGCAAGAGAAGGAAGCCTCGTTTCAGCCTCTCCCTGAGCTCACCTTGTCAGTGTCCCCAAAGCCCATCAGCATGGAATCATCCAGGTCCCGACGACCGCCAGCTGCCTCTCCTAGTAGCTTCTCCTCTTCTGGGGTCTGAGAATCTGGGGCCTTCTGGATACACAGAAGAGAGGTATCTGAGAGGCCTGATTCTTGCCCCTTCTTCCCTTTACCTGAGTGTGGTGGGCCTTACCTGAGCCTTGTTGCTTAGTTCCAAGGTCCTGAGACTCTCAATCAGGTTACTGGGTGATATGTGAGGGGTGGTTTCCTGCACAGGTGAGGACGGGGTGGTCTGGTTGTCAGTGCGTGAAGCTAGCTTGGTGTCCCCCACAGGCCCCTCTGAGGTGGTCTGGTCCAGCACAGCCCCGCCGGTGGCTGCCTCCAAGGACTTGTCTTGAGTGAGCTCCATCACGGCTGTCTCCGACTTAGCCTGGCCTAGAGTGGACCCTTCCACGGGTGATGCTGAGGTAGCCTTCCTCGTGCCTGCTTCCAGAATGTTTTCTTCTGGCGTGGCCATCCCCTCGGCTGACCCAGGATTGGCTGGTTGAGGCTCCTTGGTGACCAGCTCAGAATTGGAGGTTTCCTCCTCCTTGTCCTCTACCTCTGGAACCGCAGGAAGATCCTTGAGTGTGGGTGCTATCCCCTTTTCTGCCTCTAATCCATGCCCCTCCTTGAGTCCCCTCCTTCTGAGTCCCCCACTGCCCCAAGTCTCCACACCCACTCACTTTTGATCCGCAAGCTACGCCAGTATCTGTGATGGATGTGGATAGTCTCAGAGATGGAGGCCAGGGCCCCTGATAGTGGGGGCCGCAGAGGGGCCAGCAGGGGTGGTGGGTCCCCAAGGAGGGTGCGAGTGCAGGCAGCCATGGACTCTGAGATGGATGTCAGGTTATAGCCACCCTGTGTTAAGGAAAAGGGGAGGGAAACTCCTCAGGGAGTTTGGGGGGTGGGGTAAGATGTCCTGTATGTGCCAACAATCCTAGGTAGAGACCATCACTGTCAAGTTTTGAAAGAGATGAGAAAATGATGCCCAAAAGAGATTTTGGGAAATTGCCCCAAGACGCAACCAGCCAGCAGAAAGGACAGGACTCCAAATCTTCCAAACTACCTTCCCACAGTGGAAAGGGGGACAGGAGAGTTACCTCTAAGATTAGGATAATGCGGCCGTTGGCAAGGCCCATCAGCAGGTGGGTGAGGTGGGCATAGCCTTCAGGTGACACCTGGCAACCCCCCAAGGGGTCTCCCTGTGCGGCGTCAAAGCCAGCTGAGACCAGCACCAGTTCTGGGTTAAACTGAGGCAGGGAGGGAAAAAATGAATGGGCATGAGGGTGGGGGCTTCAGTAGGCAGTCAGTGATGGAGACACAGATACATGGAGACCCAGAGACATTAGACAGAGACAGATGGAGACATGTGACCAGAGGCACGAAGACAAGGACAAATGAAGACATGGAGACAGAGAGATGGAGGCATGGCAACAGAGACCTGACAACAAGGAAGGGGAGGACACGAAGACACAAGAAATACAGACTCAGAGGCACAAGACTCCAAGAGAGCAGACACAGACACACAGAGACTCAGACACAGACAGAGACTTGGACACAGAGACTCGGACACAGACAGACGTGGACTACAGACTTCAAGAGACATGAGGGAGAGACATGAAGATATGAGAGATGGACAGACATAGGAGACAGTGTCATGAGATACAGAGACTCAGACATCCAGAGATGGTGACATGAGTCACGGGGAGACAGATATGTTCTCACACCCATGCACCCCAGGGGGAGACCACAAGATGCATACTCCCCTCCCTGGGTTACACATGGGACTCACATGCACAAGACACAGGGTTTTATACACACAGTGCCAAACGGGCACAAACACACTCTAATGACAGAAGATGACAATGCAAGTGCCACACTCAGAAAAGTTAGTCCCCTATGGCCACACATACCAACACACAATCAGCCAGTCCCACACAGACCACGACTACACATTCACACTAGTCATGCACATGCAGTTTCTCTCAGAGGGGGTGACAATCTACAGTCAGGCTTGCACAGACACAACCATTCACGTGTGTGTGTGCACATACACACAGACAGCCCCAGTGAGGCCATCACCACACACTCACAACAGCCATATGCACACTGCTGCACCTAGAGGAGGTGGTCACTTGCACACACAGTCACATACACAATTCCACACAGTCGTAAGAAGGTAGTCATGGCCACCTATGCACAGCCAGATACACATACAGAATTGCACCTACATACCTCATACAGTTTCACAGAAATGCCAGTCTCTGGCAGTCACATACATCTGCCCTCACAGTCACCCACCCACACATAATCAGTCACATAAAATGCCTCACACACGCAATTTACACAAAGAGAAGGTAGTCGCATACAGCTACTCATGCACAGTCTGACAAATATATACAGGCCATCACCCAGTCAGAAAAACACATACAGCTACAGTTACACAGAGATGGCTGCCACACACATACCCCACTGCAGAAAGTCACACACAGGCTGTCACAGGGACAGCCACATACAGTGATATACAATATCCCATGCATTGCACATAGAAAAGGTGGTGACGAATAGCCACCTGCACAGTCTCACACACATACTCAGGCCCCTTCCCTCCCTTGTGCATAGTTACAAAGAGATGGAAGTCACATACAGCCACCCTCACACATGGACAGGCACACAGAGTGACTCATGATGGTATACACAGACCACCCCTGCATGCTCAGAAGACACACACACACTCAAGAGAGTCTCACTCACAATGTCACAGAGAAGGCAGTCACGTAAAGCATCTGTGCATACTCAGACAAGTACACAAAGGCCATCACAGTCACATCTCCCCACACAACTAGCAGTCATGTACCATAGGTGTCGCATACTATCAGGCGCCCAGTAGTTAGACACACATGCTGAGAAGGCAGGAACATACTGCCCTGTCCCCCCACCCCCCGCCCCAGTCATGTCACCTACATCCTGAGCCATACCTCATAGGCAACGGGAAGCACCAGACGATGCCAGGCAGCCAGGTACTCGGGGTCACCCATGCGGGGCCCATTCCAGGCCACGTTGACAGTGAAGCCCATGCCGGGGGCCTGGCCAATCTGGCTGCTGGCACCCTCATTCCCCATGGGGAAGAAGGTGCCATGATCATAGCGGTGAAGGGACATGTAGAGCACACTGCCGGGATGGGGGGAAGGAGGCCATGGCTGGTTGGCGGCTGCCTTGCCGCTGTGGGCCCCCAGGATCCCGGAGGCATGGCCTGCCTACTTCCCTGGCCACCCCCCTACCCCAGCACCTCACCTGGGGTCATCCTCAAATATGTGCTGAGTTCCATTACCATGATGGACGTCCCAATCCACAATCAGGATCCTGGGGCAGGGGTGGGGCAGAGGACAGGCTACTCAGTAACCTAGGATACGTGCCCCCTGGGAGAAGGCTAGACCTCTGCGTCTGCAGGGGGATTTATTGCTGGTGGCAGGACCTGGGTCCCTTTTAGGAAAATTCTGGGTGTCAGGCTTCTGGTTCCTATCACAGTAAGTGTGAAAGCCAGATCCTGGGTCCTGAGGCTTTACTCTTGGCTTGAGTCAGTGCTGAGAGCTGGACCCTGAATTCTGCTCAGATAACTGCTATGGGCCAGAACTGCTGGGTGCTGGACCCTGGATCCTGTTTTATAAGTACCAGGATACCCCAACCTGGGTGTCCTATCTGAGTAAGCACTGAGAGGCTAGACCCTTGGTCCTCGCTAGGTAAAGTGCTAAATAAGTGGACCCTTGGTTGTTTCTGGGTAAGTTCTGGGGGTGACACCATGGGCCTGCTGGCTAAGCACTGGGCTGGGAGTGGAATCGCCAGGTCCTAATAAGGGCCAGGATTTGGGGGTCCCCAGAGAGCCCTCACCGCAGGGCATGCCCACTGATGGCCTGGGCATGGCGAGCAGCCACCGCCACAGAGTTGAAAAAGCAGAAACCGCACGCAGCATCCCACTCTGCATGATGTCCTGGGGGGCGCACCACGGCAGTACCATTCAGTACCTGGGAGAGGAGCAGGGAGCTAAGACTGACCATCATCCCTCACCGCTTTCGTTCCTCTTCTCCTTTTCCCTCTCTCCTGTCTCCTTCACCAGCTGCTAGGGGCCCCTTCCCTTGCCTCCCACCCTACCCTTGCAATCCCCATCTCCTCTGGGAATACTCTCTAGTCAGCAGGGGAACCCCCCCAACACCTCCGTTCCTCAGGCCCTAACTTTCCCAGAGCCCTCTTGGTCCATTCCCCCAAGACTTCCCCTCCCTAGCCTGTCGCCCACCCCACAAAGGATGCACCTCTCCAGCAAGCACAGCCTCCACTAGGCGGCATACAGCACCAGTGGCGAGCTGCGCACAGGTGAAGGTGCTGGGGCAGATGTAGATGGAGTCAAAGCTGGCGCCCTCACGGTGCAGCTCCCGGGTTTTCATGTTCTCCGTGGCTCGCAGACGAGCCATGTACTCAGCACTGCAGGTACAGAGAGGAGCACCGATGGACAGTGAGGTGGTTCCAGCCCCTCCTGGGTGTCACAGCAGCTCTGTGTGCTTAACACTGCTCCACGTTCTGGGAGGGAAAGCCCAAGCTCCAGCCCACAGGATCCTAGCCCCCTCAGGCATGGGGGGGTCTGACCTGTGGCAGGTGAGCAGCTCAGCATCTGTGGCAGGGCGTGCAGGCAGGGTGAGGCAGCGCTCAGCGAGGCCCAGCTCCTCCAGATGGTACATAATTCGCGAGATGCGCTGGGGCATCTCGGGGTGGTGGCTGGGAGTAGGGGGGAAGCCAGAGGCGGGGGCTCAATGCTTGAGGAGCAGGGGAGGGACCCCAACACCCACTTATCCCGGCCCTTAGACTACTACATACTTGTCCCATAAGTTGTAGTGACTCATCATACGCTGGTCATAGACCAGCCCCGTGCGAGCGCGCAGCACTGGCCAGGCCAGGATTTGGGGCACAGGGGGCTCCCACGGCCCCTCCTCCTTGTCGTTCTCCACGTAGTCCTCCTCGAGGGTCTCAGCTACAAGGGGGAGGTCACATTCACCCTACTCTCCCAACCTGGTTCCCCGCAATACTCTGGGGCTCGGTTTACCCAAATATAAGAAAGGGTGGGAGACCTGAAACCAGGGCCCAGAGAGAGAGGGCCTGACCCTCCGTTACCAAGGTGGCCCAGGAAAGCTGGGGGGGTGGTCTAGAAGAGGGTCTCTCCCACCACTCACATCATGCCCAACCCTCCACACCAGGCCCACTTCCCACTTCCTACCAGATTGCATAAGGACCTCCCAGAAGGGCTCGAGGGCTACCAAAGTGCAGGAGATCGAAGTTCGGGCACTGGAGGGCAGGGGAAGCGAAGAATGGATGCAATGGCCCCGGGTGGGCAGTGAGGGTCCCACTCACCCACTCCTCTACCTGGGCTCACCTCAAGCAGGGGGCGCCAGGGGACTCCAGCATGGGACAAGGGTCTCCCAGAAGGGTGTGGAGCGAGGCACTGACGCCCTCAGCCAGGGAGCGGCAGTTGTAGCCACCCTGGAAGGAGGGGTCAGGAGAGGACCAGACACTCTCAGGGAATAATAATAATAAGGTATATACTACATGTCAGGCAACAAGGAATTTAGAGGGTGATCTCAATTAATTCACTGGACAATGATCTAAGGTGACTGCTATTATCATTATGTCTGCTTTTCATAAGAAAAGCTGAGGCACAAAGAGGTTAAGTGAGTTATGCCAGGTTGTAGAGCTAGTAAGTGGAAATGCTGGGACCAAAACCCCTGCTGGACTCGAAAGTCTGGTTCTCAAGTGCTCCAGAATCCACAGGCTGAGACAAAGGTGGTGGTAATGGGGTGAGCTGTGGGCATGGCACGTCACTCACCTCCAGAGACAGGATCAGCTTGCCTCCTGCCAGACCCATGAGCAGGTGGGTCAGCTGGGCGAACCCTGCTGGAGTGGCAGCCATGTTGCCCTGGGGGGCAGGAAGGGTCAGCCTGGCTCCACGCAGCCCCTCTGCCCAACTGCTACCACATGGAGCCTGCCTTACCTTGGGGTCCCCTTGGAGGGCATCGTATCCAGCAGCCACCAGGACCAGCTGGGGCTGGAACTGAGGAGGGAATGGTCTACATGAGGCCTCTGCCCTCATGGCCCATCCCTCCATACTGCCCTGTCCCTAACAAACCCTAGGCCCCCAGGACCTCAAGGGCGACTGGCAGCAGGATATGCAGGAACGCAGCAATGTAGTCAGCATCTCGCATCCCCACCTGCAGACAGAGGCATGACAGGGTCAGTCAGCCACTATCACCTGCTCTGGACTGCCTGAAGGGCAGGGGTGGACATTACTGTGGAGGTAGAGAATGTGCCAACACTGACCTCGTTCCAAGGCACATTGATGTTGTATCCCTGGCTTTGGCTGAAGCCTGTGGCGGACCAGTTAGAGGCCTTAAGGTGGGGCCAGAACTGGCCGTGCACATAGTGGAGGATGGAGAAATAGAGGATGCTGGAGGCAGAGGAAGAAAGAGGTGAGGGGGTTGGAGAAGAGTCCATCTCCCCAGCCCACAGCTGCCATGGTTCACTCATCACCCGTTTCCCCATTCAGCCACTCATTCATTCTCCCATTAATTCTTTAATCCATACATCCATTCATTCTTCTGTTAATTCATTCTTCCTTTCAATTGCCAACTTATTCATTCTCCCACTCAGTAATTGTTCCATTCATTCATTCACTACATCACTCACTCATTCATTCAGTCTCCCACTGGAGCCCCTAACTCAGCAAACATCACTACCCACCTCAGTATCTGTTATGGATTGAACTGTGTCCCCCCAAAATGTGTATCAACTTGGCTAGGCCATGATTCCCAGTACTGTTTGGTTGTCCACCATTTTGTGATCTGATGTGGTTATCCTATGTGTTGTATATCCTAACCTCTATGATGTTATGGCACAGTGGTCCAGAGCTACAGCTGCTAACCAAAAGGTCAGCAGTTCGAATCCACCAGCTACTCCTTGGAAACCCTGAGGGGCAGTTCTACTCTGTCCTATAGGGTCGCTATGAGTTGGAATCCACTCAATGGCAACGGGTTTGGTTTTTGGTTTTGGTTTAATGAGGCGGGATTAGAGGCAGTTATGTTAATGCGGCAGGACTCAATCTACACGATTAGGTTGTATCTTGAGCCAATTTATTTAGAGATATAAGAGATAGGACAGCAGAGAGGAGACAGACCTCATGCCACCAAGAAAGAAGCTCTGGGAGTGGAGCGTGTCCTTTGGAACCGGGGTCCCTGCGCTGAGAAGCTCCTAGACTAGGGGAAGATTGATAACAAGGACCTTCCCCCAGAGCCAACAGAGAGAGAAGGCCTTCTTCCCCTGGAGCTGGCACCCTGAGTTTGGACTTCTAGCCTACTAGACTGTGAGAGAATAAATTTTTCTTTGTTAAAGCCAACCACTTGTGGTATTTCTGTTATAGCAGCACTAGATAACTAAGACAGTATCCATCTGGTTCCATGCTCAGCTCAGAGACCCTGAGAGCTTCTGGGTCTATCCCAGCCCCCAGGGACTCCTGACCTTGCAGGAGACTCTAGATCATGCCTGCCTGCCCACCTGCCCCTGTGACCAGGATGCTAACAGCAGTATAAACCTTATGCCACTGGAGACCCATAGGGGGCATGAGGCTCTTGGGGTTAGAAGGGGTGGAACTTGGGTCTCTATATGGAGGTGGAAGAGGGTGCGGGGCTGTCATGAGGTCAGTGAGGGGGCGATTCCTTCTCTCTAACACTTTACAGGCCCCCTTTACTACTTCTTCTATAGGTGAGAGATTGAGCACTAAGAGGGGTCAGAGGGATTGTGAAGGGGATTGACACACAAAACAGGTCCTGAAAAGTCAGGATTATACATGTTCTGATGGAAAGCTGGGCAAGGAGCTGTAGGAGGGCTTAACTCTGACTGGGGAAACAAAATGAATAATCTTTCATCCATCTACTCATCTATCCATCTATTCATCCACCACCTGCCTTGTTCCAGAAAGAATTTAGGCAGCATTTTTTTCTTCTTAGAGATATGCAAGAAATCTAGACAAACTTAAGAGACAAAATTTAATAAATGTTGATAACATAGTTTTAAAATGAAATGCAACTGATATAAATGGATTTTTGAAAATGAAAAACATAAGGAAAATATCTTGAAATTAGGAAATGAAACCCATGCTAAAACTGGTCTTGATGAGCAGGTTGGAGATGAAGTGATCATTGTTTTATTTTTTATACTGATAGATAAATATAGGTACTAAGTTTTTTTTTTTTAAAGTAAGTTAACCATCAGCAGAAGAGAAGTAGAGAAGAACACAGAAAATTATCATCAGGGAAATAAAAGAATAAAGAAAAGATCTGAAGAAAGCCAACCCCACATGAGTGTCACCAGAGTCAACAAACAGAATACCCAAGGAAACAGAACTAATACCCAAGGAAACTAAGTTTATAAAGCAAACAGAGGGGATTTTAAAATAAGTTCGACTGACTTCCAGTGAAAGGATGGTGGATTGATAGCACAACTTTACCTCCTCTTCCTTCCATAATCCCAGATAAATGACAGTAAAGGAAATTTAAACAAGTAACAACCCAGAAAGACAGAGAATGAAGGAAAAGATGTCAGACAATGAGTGACTTCAACACATCTCTGGAAGGTAGAAGCCTCAGGACTTTGAGGTACCAGGTGCACCAAAGAGTAGGATAACACATGGGGTATTAGACCCTCAACGCCCTCTCCCATGCTGAGCAGGTGGAGGCAGGGCACCCACCCTCCCTTACCCTCAAGAAGATGATCTGATTGGCTCATAAAATAAAGAACGTTACCCCTGAGTACTGTGCTCCTTTAAAAAAATCATCTATATGAGACCAAATGGTCAACAATTACTCTAAATCAAAGATGAGAAGGTAAGGGGGCAGGAAAAGAAGATTACTGGAAACGGAACAATCAGAATGGAATTAATGGGAACGTTGACACATTGTGAAAAACGTAACCAATGTCACTGAATGATTTGTATAGAAATTGTTAAATGGGAACCTAATTTGCTGTGTAAACTTTCACCGAAAACACAATAAAATATTATTTACAAAAAAACAAAAAACGAAGATGACCTGAGGTTTCTCCTCTGAGGAAATCAAGCACAGACTCTGGGTCAATGTACTCAAAATCAACACTGAATAGCCAATTCTGAATTACCAGGTCACCAAATTTGTTTAACTACTTAGTTTTAGTTTAAGGAGCCCTGGTGGTGCAATGGTTAAGTGCTCAGCTAGTAACCAAAAGGTCAGAGGTTTGAACCCACCAGGTGCTCCTTGGGAGAAAAGACCTGATGATCTGCTCCCATAAAGATTATAGCCTAGAAACCCCTACTCTGTCTACTCTGTCCTATAAGGTTGATATGAGTCAGAATCGACTTGACAGCACACAACAGCAACAACTGCAGTTTACGTGCTTTCACTGTCTTTTTAACAGCATTTTAAGGACTGTCCAGTCTGTCTCCACCCCAAGACCTTGCTGCTGGAGTTACAAGACTGAGAGAGGGGAAACTAGGAGATTAAAGGGCACGGAGAGAATTTTTACTTATATATTCTTATTCTTAAGGAGGAATGTATTGAATATATTGCAATTCTCCACACCCATGCATATAATCAATAATGTAGCCACAAAACAACAAATCTATAACCTCCAGTGCATTTACCCTCTGCTGCATTTATCAGAACAAAAAGAACAATTAATGTTATTTAAAAAAATTCTTGTTAATTTTCTTATGTGTGATATTGTGGCCATGCTGTTTTTGTTTTTAAAGCATCTTTACATTTTAGAGATACATTCTTAAATATTTACAGATGAAACTATATGGTGTCTGGGATTATCTTCAAAATAATACAGAAGCAAGGCAGTGGGTGCTGATACAGATGAAAGAAGATTGGCCAATGAGTTCATAAACGTTGATGCATTCAAATCAAGAAGCCAGAAATGAAAATAAAGAACATAGGAGGAATAATAAACATAAAAACAGAAAAAAGAATGACATATAAAAAAACAAACAATAAAACAGCAGAAATGACTTCAAAAGCCAAAAGCTAGATTTTTAAAAGATAAGTAAAATAGACAAATCTTTGGCAAGGCTGAGGAAAAAAAGAGAGATGGCAGCCCAAAGAAGAGATCTCCTTGTTTCTGGCATTTGGCAGGACCCCATGTAGTGCCTGGGTCTTTGCCCACATTCCCTAAAGTGAGACCCATCAGTGGAAATTCCCTGCCCCTACTCTGGGGAAATGCATTTCAGGAAAACATTGCTACAGGTACCACGGAAGAGTAGCCCCATGACAGCTACCTACAATAGTCAACACAGTACTTTGTTCTTAAGTATAAATAGCCAGATAAGGATCATTAGACATTTGAGGAAAACCATCATCATGAAAGAGAAGGACCAAGATAAACAAACAAAACAATTTGAGCATCCCCCAAATAAACAGACATATTTCAGGAAACAAAAGAGAAAACACTTCTAATTAGTACTCTAAAAAACAAAATCAGGAATGAGATGGTATGGAAACAGAGAGGAAGAAAGTACTCTTGGAGATTAAAAGAATGTCTAAATATAAAATTCAACAGAAGGTCTTGAAGATAAATTGGAGGAAATCTCCCAGGACGCAGGGCAAAAGGAAAAAGAGACAGAAAACAGAAGACAAAAAAGAAGACACATAAAAAAAGAGAGACACAGAGGATCAACTCAGAAGGTCTATTATCTGGCTAACAGGAGTCCTAGAAGAACAGAGAAAACACAGTAGAAACACAGTAGAAGAAATTATCAAAGAAAGGTGTGAGTCTAAAAAACAACCAACCTAGATCAGGTAAGGGGCCGTGAGAGCTCAGGATTTATGGGGAAAAAAGTGGATTCTATGTAGCTGGTTTGACAGAAAGCTAGATAAAACAACAACTACTTAGTAATGTCCTGTACTGACAAGTATTCAATCACTTTCTGGAGGAAGGCTAAATTAGTACCACCTTTCTGGAGGGAAGTCTGGCAGTATATATCAGAATTTAAAGCATGCTGACCCTCTGACCCAGAAATCCACTATTAGAAATTCATGCTTCAGATATACTCAGAAAAGTGTAAACTTATATATTTACAAGAATGTTCACTGGAGACTTGTCTAATAATAAAAACTGGAAGCATCTTAAACATCCAAGAGTTAAACAGAAGTACAGCCATACAACAGAATACTATAAAGCTCTTACAAACAGGTGGTTTTAAATGAAAAAAAGCAAGTTGCTGAAGAGCATGTAGAGGATTATCTCATCAGGCACTGATAATAATAATGATAATAATAAATATTCATGTATCTATAGGAAAAAATCTGTAAGAATATAAGCCACACTTTCAACAGTTGTTTATGAGGTGATGGGAATTATAGGAGACTCATACTTCTCTAGACATTTCTGTATTAATTTTTTTCAACACATACTTTACAATATTGTTATAATCTGAAAAAATAAAGTTGTAATTTGAGGTTCACTCCATTCTCAGCAAACAAGATCCCCAAATATTTGTGGGCTCAAATCCTGTCTCTGCTACTTTCTCTATGTGTAACCTCTTAACTTATAAGCCTCAATTTCCTTATTTGTAAAATAGGGAGTGAAACAGTTCCTGCCTCATAGAGTGGTATGAAGAAAGACAGCAGACACATACAGTGCTAGCACAGATCCTGTGAATGCCTTGCCTTTCCTTCCTCCTAGGCTCCTTCTGGCTGGGCCTATAAAGGATGGTGGCTGGAAGTCTAGTATTTGCAGTTGGACTTGGGGCATACCTGGGGTCCTGGTCAAAGATGAACTGTCTTCCTTGACCATGGTGCACATCCCAATCCACAATAAGGACCCTGTGTGCCAGGAGAGAGGGGACAGTGTGTAAGGGGATCAAGGTGAATCCAGGGGAAGAGCCCAGACCAGCATACCCCACCCCAGGGCATCACCGTCACATCTGCCCTGCTGCTGCTGACCTCTGAATATCATGCCTCTGCTGAGCATAGCGGGCAGCCACGGCCACATGGTTGAACATGCAATACCCATCCATAAGACTGTGCCGGGCATGGTGTCCAGGAGGCCTGGGGAGGACAGGGAAGGCCACAAATGGGTCAGGGGGTCCTCTTCTACTGAGATAGACTCTACCTTGCTCCCTAATCCTGGACTACCAACTCCTCCAATGCCAATGCCTGCGAATCTGCCAGGAACTGAGTTACTGGGGCCCTTGAACCCTCACCACCCCCAATTTACTGTTCTCTCTCCAGGGGAGATTTGCCAGTGTTCATTCAAATGATAACTGCACACATCCTCATACCCAGCCATTCTGCTGCTGGGGATTTAGTCCACAATCCGTACAACAAAAAGAGTGAAATAACATGTTTATAAATGTCCAATGATACTTGCTGCAGCATTTTTTTTTAAAACAGCAAATGATGGAAAAAACCAAAATGTCCATTAGCAGGGGACTGGTTAAATTTTTGTACAATTGTACAATGGAGTTCTACATGGCTCTAAGCTAAGCTTAGAATCAATGAGATATAATAATTATTCCTTGACTAAGCACAGACTGTTTCTGGGAGGACACATGAGTCACTGGTTATAGTGATTACCTCCCAGGAGAGGAATTGGGAGTGGGAGGGAGACTTTTTCTTGTATGCCCTTTTCTATCTTTTGATTTTTGAACCATGTGAATATATTACCCATACCAGTAAATTTAAATTTAAGAGAATGAATTTTAAAAAAGGTAAAAAGCTAAATATTAGAGGATCCTACCTGATGATGGCCATGCCATTCTGTACTTCGGCCCCCAGAACCGCATCCACCAGCCTGAGGACAGAGCCTGAGGCCAGGCAGGCACATGTGTATGAGTTCTGCAGCGACAGTGGGGAACAGAGAGGGACTGAGGGAGAAAGCAGGCCTGTCCACTCAGCTGCTCCCATGGGGAACAGGGGGGAATGGGGTCCAGGGTGGGGTGGACATGGGGATGGGGACTCCAGGAGTGCTGTCCCCCTCCCCCCCCCAGCACTCATCCATACTGGATGCAGGTAGACTGAGTCATAATTGTTTGCCAGGATGTGGAGTTCCACCTCATTCATGTACTGGGTCGTCTCCATCAGATCAATGTATTCTAGGCTGAGGAACAGATAGGGGATGGCATTCAGGGGTCTGCCTCCCTCCTTGGTCCTCAGCGGGGGCCCTGTCCCCTCCCCATCTGAGTCCTTCACACACCAGACCCCGGGTCAAATCAGGCCCCTCAACTGTCAACCTGGGGAAACAGCTGAGATGTAGGATACATTCCCTCCTTCCCTAGCCCACCGCATTTCCTGTAGTATCATTTGCCCCCTGGCTGTAGCCACACCAAACATTATCTCCAGGCCTTTGGCCATACTGTTCTACCTGCCTATACCTCCCTTCCCTCTCAGCCCTCCTCTTCATCTAACTCACTCTTTTTCTCCTCTTAAAGCTCAACTCAGATACCCTCCCTCTGCCAAGCTAGTTTTCCTTGAATCACATGGCACCAGGCCTCTTATTTTGGGCTCCTGCAGCCCTCTGGGGGCACAGCCCTGATCACTCTGTCCACATATCCACCATCTTTTTACAACCAGGTTACAATAACAACGGCTCATCATGAGCTGATGATATGTCAGGTACTGTTCTAAGCCCCTGACAGATACTGAAGCCTCTTGAGAAAGGCCTGTTTATTAGCCCCCATGTTACAGGTGATGACACTGAGATCCAGAGAGGCTCAATCACTTGCCCAAGGCCACAGAGCCCATGATATTCCTTTCCAAAGCAATGAGCCACCCTAGTCAGCCCGGGGAAGCTTCCTCCCCATCCCTACAAGGCTCCCAGACCTTCACCTGTGAACCATCATCAGCTCCTCCTTTTTGGCAGATCGAGCCTGGGGAGACATGAGGAATAAAGGGCTAAGACACAAGCCAGGCCTAGGTCCCACCAGTCCCCAGCCCTCAGCCCAGGGTGTCTGCTGGGGGACTCACCTGGAAGGAGATACAGCGATCCAGGAGGCCCTCCTGGGTCAGCTGCTGCTTGATGGCATGGAGCCGCTCGGGGCCTTCAGGGAAGCTGGGGGAGAGAGAGAGATGCAACCATATATATGTATGTATATGCGTTTCTGTATATATATGTATATGTATATATGTATCTACACATAAGTATATATACGTATGTACATATACATACATACGTACATATATATACATATATATATATGCATATACAGAACTCCCCATAGGGTTTCCAAGGCTGTAATCTTTATGGAAGCAGACTGCCACATCTTTCTCCTGCGGAGCAGCTGGTGGGTTTGAACTGTCGACCTTTCAGTTAGCAGCCAAGTGCTTAACCACAGTGCCACCAGGGCTCTATCTCTCTCTCTCTACATTATCTATCTATCTATAGACACTGGTGAGCACCACATCTGCTCCTGCCACATCTCCCCAATCCAGCCTTCCACAGCTGCTCAAGCCAAACACTTTGCAATCTCCACTGACTCTTGTTGGTTCCAATCTCAAAATGTATCCAGAGTCTGACCCTTTCCTCATCACCTCCACTGCTACTACCATAATCTCTCGCCTGAGCTAGTGCAGTAATCTTACTGGTCACCCACCCTCTGCCCTTGCTCCCCCAGCGGTCCTTTCCCCACACAGCAACCAGAGACATCAATTAAAACCCAAATCCTTTATTCAAAACCCTCCTGTGGCTCCCACCATGGTCCAGAAGGCCCTACACAATCTGTCCCCTATTTCTTCTCTGACCCCATCCCCTACCACCCTCCCCTTTAATCACTTTGCTTCACCTACACTAGTCTCCTCACTGTTCCTCAATCAAACCAAGTATTCACCTGCCTCAGAGACTTTAGTTGTTCCTCCTGCCTAGAACATTCTTCTCCCGGATGTCTGAGTGGCTCACTCCCTCACTTCCTTAAGAATCCCCTCCACTGTACTTTTTACTACCCTCCTTCCCACTTTGTTCTTCACCACAGCACTTCCCTTTCTAACATACTACACACTTTTTTTTTTTTTTGGTTTACTGTCTGTCTTCTCTTTCTAAAATGCAATCCCCATTAAGGCAGGGTTGTTTGTTTACTGCTGTATCTACTGCGCCTCAGTATACGCTAAATATTTATTCAATAAATAAAAGGCATACAGTTTTTGACACCATCAATCTTATATTCAGATGGGGGGCGGGGATAAGATACTCAACTGGTAAACATACAAATATAATCATTTAAAAACAATGACATGAACTCTGAGTATCTAAGACCAAGTATGAGGGTAGGGTAGTGGTCAGGAAAAGCCCTCTCTGAGAAAGTCTTGCTGAGATGTGAGTGGTGAATAAGCACTAGCTGGGAGAGGAGGAGGCAGAAAGGAATCTCTGGAGAAGGTATCAGCCAGAGTAAAGACCTGAGGTGGGAGGGTGCCTGGCATGTTTGAGGAACAGCAAGGGGACCAGTGTAGGTGAAGTGAAGTGAATGAGGGACAGGGTGGTGGCTGATGAGGTTACAAAGATGATGTGGGGCCAGTCACGTGGAACCTTAGAGGCCAGGATGAAGAATTTGGACTTTACCTTGAGGCCAACGGTCCACCTTTGAAGAATTTTTAACAAGAGAATGGCATCTGATATACATTTTTTTAAAGCTGCTGTGTAGAAAACAGATTGTAGGGGTGAGGACAGAAGCAGTGGGACCAGTGAGGAGGCCTCTGCAACAGTCTAGGTGTATGAAGGCTGTGGTGGCAGTAGAGGTGGTGAGCAGAGGTCTGATACTGAATATGTATATTTTGAACATAGAGCCAATAAGGATTTACTGATGGATTACAACAAGTGTGAAAGTAGAGTCAATGGGAGGTATAATCACAAATGTCCTTGCCTCAAAGAAGCCTTCCAGGAATGCTGGATGCTAGCTTACGGTCCTCTGTTAAACACTCTTCAATCCCCTAGTCTTAAGTATTCCTTCATTAAACAATTCATACTGCTGTTGGTTGTTTAATGATCAGCTCTCCTATTCTCCTGTCAGCTCCTTGAGAGGTGACCCTGTCTATCTTGTCTACATTTGTTATCACCAACTCCTGGCACACTACTACCAGTTACCAGTTGCCACTGAGTCATTTCTAACTCATGGCAACTCCACGTGTGTTGGAGTAGAACTATGCTTCATAGGGTTTTCAAAGGCTGATTTTTCGAAGTAGATCACCAGCCTTTTTTTCCAAGGCACCTCTGGGTAGACTCAAACCTCCAACCTGTAGTTAGCAGCTAAGCTTAACTGTTTACACCACCCAGGGACTCCTCTGGCACACAGTAGGTGCTAAAAAGAGCCCTTTCAATTCTAAGCCCCACCTCCCTAAATCATCTGCTTCCAGTTTCCAGGCTGCCCTAAGAGAGGATCCCTTCTTGCTCATGTGTTTTTGGGGACCACTCAGAGGACCCAGCCTCACCTGTCATCCCAGAGGCAGTGGAATTCATTTAGCTGCTCATCAAATACCAAGCCTGTGCCAGACAGTACCTTGGGCTCAAGGTTCAGATCCTGCAGGGAAAAAATGGGAGACACAGATCCAATCAGAGCCTGAGTCAGAGGGAATATCCTGTACTGTCCAGGATGGGGTACCTCAGAGTCTTAGGTTATCATAGAAGGCTAAATTCAGGCCAGGCCCCTTACCAGCTCTTGAAGCCCCATGATTAGGTCTTGCTCTGCTGCTTGGCTGAGCTTCTTCATTCTGCCTTTCTTCTTTACCTCTGCTAGACTGGGGCTGGAGCAGGGTACGGCACCCTTCTTAACACCTCGCTTCTGTTGAGCACAAAGAAAGGTCAGAGTCCAGGGGGCGGCCCACTGCTCTCCCTCCCCCAGTCAGGTCTGGGGCCTCACCGAGGTGAGGATGACGCTGGAGTTGTGGGGTGGTGAGTGGGGGGTGTGTCTACTCCTTCCCTGTCCGGTTGTGGTGGAATCTTGGCCGGTGGAGGTCATGGTCGGGGAGACTGAACCCCTGACGCGGTCCTGGGGGAGTAGAGGTGACTGTCTGTAAGGGGCAGGAATGCCCAGAGGACCCCATATCCCTTCCCCATCCCAGGCCCTGCCCTCCATACTGTTCTCCATCCCTTATGCTAGCCTCTTCCCCATAGCCTTCTAAACTCCGCCTCTCCCAAGACACTCTCCCTCCACTGGGGTGTTCCTTTCGCCTTTCCACTAGATTCTGCCCCTTTTACATTATTCTCTTTTCCTCTTTCAAATCCTTGCCCTTTCACTGAGACAGTAATCCCCGACTCAGTCCTTTCTAGGGCCTGCCCTTTCCAGCCAATCCCCACCCTTCCAGTCTACCTTGCCCTATTCCCTGACCCTTTCATTCTTCTAAGCCTCACCCTGGTTGTGCAGCGCTGGTGGTGTAGTGGTTAGGAGCTCGGCTGCTAACCGAAAGGTCGGCAGTTCAAATCCACCAGCCGCTCCTTGGAAGCCCCATGGTTCAGTTCAACCCTGCCCTATAGGGTCACCGAGTCGGAATCGACTAGACGGCACCTAACTACAAGCCTCCCCTTCACAAACCTGCCTTTTCCTGCCTATCTCCAAGGAAAATCGCCCACCCTTTCACTCAGCCACACCCTGCCCCTGCGCAGATTCCACGCTTAACGATTCACCTAACTCCACGCCCTGTCGGGGTCGGAATCTTCCACTCCGCGAGATTGTGCCCCTAACGTTTCAATAAGTCCCGCCCCCTGAGGGGACTATTTTTGCTTCCTCCAGACGCCATACTCTGCCCAGACCCTACGCTAAACGTTGCACCAAGCCCCTTTAGCCAGTCCTGAGCCGTCTTCCGCTAGCCTCCGTCCCCTTCCCGCCCCCGCCATCGAAACGGACCAATCCTTTCGGTTCCACTCACTAGGCGCAGCCCCTTTCTCAAACCGCGCCCATTGATCTCGCTGACAACTTCCCCGGGAATTGTGGGGCCGCAGGTTCCCCGGCTCCTCCTTTCCATGACGGTTCTCTCAACTGCCCGCCGAGATCCCGCCCACACCAGCTCCCACAGCGTCCCCCAGGACCACGCCCATCATGCAGGTCACACCTTCCGCGAACACACAAACCCGGCGCCGGCTTGTCAGCAAACGATACTGTCGCCCTTGCGCCTGCGTGAGGTATGCACGTGTGGTTCAATATCAGACTCAAGCTCTCCCCTCCCCCAACTATCCCGCCTGCCGTCCTCCTTGCCGTGGCCACCATCCCTTTGCCCCTGCCCGGTCACCTTAGGAACCCCCCGTCCCGCGCCAACAGTGCTGCGTGATGATTCAAGGAAGGGAGGGAGTTAGGAAAGGGCACTTTGCCACTTCCCCGCCGCTTCCCGCGCGGCGCGCCGTGATGACGTAGCCTGGGCGGGCTGGCTGCTGGACCCGGAGTGAGGTTGAAACTGCACAAGGGCTGGTGGCGGCCAAAATGCGAATGATGATGGTAATAAATGCTGTGGGGATTTTATGAGTTAATATTCACTAAGGTGGCGCACACGAAGCACACACCAGATGTTAGCTGTGGGTGGTGGCGCGGGGGGGGAGTCTTGGTGAGGGCAAGTAATTGTAACGCTAAAACCAAAAAACCAAACCCGTTGCTGTCTAGTCGATTCCGACTCATTGCGACCCTATAGGACAATAGAACTGCCCCATACGGTTTCCAAGGAGCTCTGGTGGATTCAAACTGCCCACCTTTGGTTAGTAGCCGAGCTGTTAACCACTGCACCACCGGGGCTCCAGTTGTAATGCTAGCAAGTATTACATACCAGGCATTGTTAGCCACAACTCTGTGAGGTACTTCCCGTTTTTAATGCTGCTTTGCAGATAAGGAAACTGAGGTTACGCGACTTGGCCATGTGACCTTGGGCAAGTTACTGAACATCTCTATGCTTCGGTTTCCTCATATGGAAAATTGTGATAATGGTAGTGCCCGGGACTAGAATGGACTCAGAGTTTTTCAGGGTTGGCAGCTCTCCCTATCTGCCTCCCTCCACCGGGTAAACTCTGCTCCCAAGCTGTAATACAAAGTGTGTGTGCCTGGAGAGTAGGGGGAGTTGTCCCTGTGCCTCCTCTCCCTCCCACCCCTGTCTAAATATCAGCTCTGCAGGGGGCCGGTTTGTCCTCCTAATCTCCCTCTCATTCTCCACCATTTCCTACCGGGCTGCTGGCTGGGGCCGGAGAGATAAGCGGTCTGGGGTTCAGCATCGCTGACTAACAAACAGATTGACAGCCCCACCGCCCAGTAGCAGGGCCTTCTGACCCTCTTGAAGACCCCACTTCCAGCCTCTTCTTCCCTTCCACTCTTTTCCTGTCTGAACGTGTCTTTTGTACCAGTGGAAGAGGGTCACGGACTTAAGACCTTTAAACCTCCACATACACCAAAGAAAATATACATACAATGATAAACACTGGGAAGCATTCTGGGGTTGTGATGCTTGCTTGCAAAACAATAGCAGAGGGAGTCTGGAATGGGTCAAGGTCCAATTTTCTGTACAGTCAGGAGAGAGGTTCCTATAGAGCAGAGGTTGGCAAAATTTTTCTAGTAAGGGCCAGATTTTAGGCTTTTGTAGGCCACATAAGGTCTCTGTGGCGTATTTTTCTTTTTTCTTTTTTTTACAACCCTTTAAAAGTGTGAAAACAGGCTACAAGCTGGCATTGCCTGCCGTCTATAGTTTGCCAATGCCTGCTGTAGAGTGTCAGTCCTTGGTTTTCCCTACCTGGCTGGGATTCTTTTATAGGATGAGGGCAGGGGTTCCATGTGGCCTGAGGAGAGGTATTCCTTTTGTGTGAGGTGTGAGGACAGGGGTTCACTGACAGGGCCAGGTCACTTCTGGTGTTCCTCTTCTGGGTCAAGCAAACATTCCTGGACAGGGAGAGCACAGAGGTTCCTATAGTTTTAGTAGTGGTGTTCCTCTACTCAAGCAGGGGATTCCGTACAAAATAAGACAGACATTCCTAGAGAGCTCTAGACTAGGGGTTCCTGTATAAGTTCAGGATGGGGCTTCTTAGACTGCAGTATGACAGGTTTCTACAAAAAGATCAGGGGGTCCAGTACAGGGTTAGGATAGGTGTTTTTGTACAGGTTCAGAGCTTGTATTCATATAGACAGTAAGATCGTTCATGTTCAGATTCAGGTCAAGAAATTGCTATTAATTAGGATAAATTATGCTAGCTGCTGTAACAAACAAACCCAGAATCTCAGAGGCCTTAACAAATAAATTTTTATTTCTTGCTCGCACAGAATCCAATTTGCATATTTACTACAAGTCCTTCATGGGCCAAGGAAATGTTCATTTTGTGACTTTGTTCTCCTTGACCTCCTCAGAGTTCTTGCTATTCAGCTGGTAGATGGGGAAAGAGAGAGTGGAGGATTGCAGGGGAGGTTTTTATGGGCCTGGCCTGGAAGTGGTACATAATAATTCTGCTCACACTCTATTCACCAGAACTCTGTAATATGTCCACATTTAACTGCAAGGGAGGTTGGAAAAGATAGAATGAGCTCAGGGATAAGGAACAGGTTTTGGTGAGCCCATAGCAGTGTTTGCTACAGGATTCTATAGACTCCATAAAGCTATGCTATCCAGTGTTAGCCACTAGCTACATGTGGCTGTTGAGCACTTGAAATGTGGCTAGTCCAAATTGAGATGTACTGTAAGTGTAAAATACACACTGGATTTTGAAAATTTAGTATGAAAACAGTTTTAAATATCTTTTTTTATATTGATTACATGTTGAAATTATAATGTTTGGATATATTGAAAGTAAATATATTATTAAAGTTCATTTCACCTGTTCTTTTTACTTTTTTAATGTGGCTACATGAAAATTTTAAATTACACATGTGACTTGCATTATATTTCTATTGGATAGTGCTGCTATAGAAAATTCTCTTTAAAGTATTGGGACAAGGATTTTTTTATATTGTACTTTAGATGAAGGTTTACAGAACAAACTAGCTTTTTATTAAACAGTACACATATTGTTTTGTGACATTGGTTACCAACCCCACAACATGTCAACACTCTCCCTTCTTGACCTTAGGTTCCCTATTATCAGCTTTCCTGTCCCCTCCTGCCTTCTAGTCCTTGCCCCTGGGCTGGTGTGCCCTTTAGTCTTGTTTTGTTTTATGGGCGGGGACAGGGATTCTTGTACTATGTAGGGGTAGGGGTTTCTGTACAGGATCAAGTTAGTGTTTCCTGTCTGGGGTCAGAATGACTCTGTTACATTGTAAGGCAGGTTTGTAGGAAAATATGGGGTTGGAGACATTGTAGTGTGAGAGAGAAGGGTGTAAAGGCAGTTTTTCCTATACAGGTTAAGGTTAGGTTGTCATTTAGAGGCCAGGAGAGTGGTTTTCTGTAGACAGTCAGGCCAAATGATCACAACATACTCAGGACAGGTATTTCTGTACAGGATCAGAGCTAGGTTCCCAGAGGGTTAGGTCAGTGGTTCTTGTACAGCTTCAGGACAGGTGTTCATGGTGATTCAGATAACAGGTTGTTTAACAAGGTCCGAACAGAGGTTCCTATACAGTGTAGGTGTTTTTGTGCTGTTTTATTTGTTAGATTCCTGTCTTAGTTATCTAGTGCTGCTATAACAGAAATACCACAAGTAGATGGCTTTAACAAACAGAAATTTATTCTCTCACAGTCTAGGAGGTTAGAAGTCCGAATTTAGGGTGCCAGGTTCCAGGGAAGCCTTTCTCTCTCTGTCGGTTCTGGGGGAAGGTCCTTGCCATCAATCTTCCCCTAGTCTAGGAGCTTCTCAGCACAGGGACCCTGGGTCCAAAGGACATGCTACACTCCCGGCGCTTCTTTCTTGGTGGTATGAGGTCCCTCTCCTCTCTGCTCCCTTCTCTCTTTTATATCTCAAAAGAGATTGACTCAAAATACAACCTAATCCTGTAGATTGAGTCCTGCCTCATTAACATAACTGCCGCTAATCCTGCCTCATTAACATCATAGAGGTTAGGATTTACAACACCTGGGATAATCACATCAGATCACAAAATGGTGGACAGCCACACAATACCGTGAATCATGGCCTAGCCAAGTTAACACACATTTTTGAGAGACACAATTCAATCAATAGCAATTCCTATATTCAGATCAGAGGTTCCTGTTGAGCGTAAGGGCGAGGTTTTCTGTATCAGCTCACGACGCAGGTTCCTGCTGAGAATCATGGAGAGTAGTCCTGTGCAGGGTCAGGACAATGATCATGTACGAGTTAGCACACCGTTTCCTTCAGAGATTCAAGTTAGCATTTCTTCTTTTGGGTCATGACAGTGGTTCCTCTACAGGGTGAAGGTGGGGCTTCTGGGACAAGGTCTGGGCAAGAGTTGTTATAGAAAGTCAGATCAGCGCTTCCTGTTCAGGGTCAGAATAGTGTTTCCAGAGAGTAAGGTCGGGGTTTCCTATAAAGGATCAGATCAGCAATTTCTGTCAGGAAAGGAAAGGATTTCCATTGAGGTTCAGGAAGAAGTTTCTACAAAGAGTCAGATCAGCGGTTCTTGTACAATGGTAGGGAAAGGCTTCCTGTAGAGGATCAGGCCAGTGGATCGATCACACATAGGATGAGGGCAGGTGTTCCTGTATGGCATGAGAACAGGAAGCTCTGTACAGCATCAGTAAATGGCATCATCCAGCATCTGGACAGGGAGTCTTGTACCAGATGAGGTCATAGGTTCTTATATAGGATGAGGTCTGGGCTTAGCATAGAGGGCCATAACAGGAGCCCCTGCCACAGGGTCAGGAAAGGGTTTTCTATACAGGTTCAAGACTGAAGTCATGTTGAGAG